CACACATTAAAAAAGAAGGTAACCTGGCATAAGTAATATAGACCCTTTCGTGAATTTTAAGTCTACAATCAACAATTTGGTGTTTATTTATTTAATTTTTTCCAGTCAGAAAAATACAATACATGTACTTTCTTCATTCAACCAAAGACACTAGACACTAGTGTCTTTGATTCAACTAACTCAATAGAGAAGGAATGTAATTAAAAAAACAAATTGTACATGCAAACAATCAGACAAATATTACAACATGAGACACAGGAGTCGAACACACGATCACGGCAATCAACTTACAGCAGTAGGTAGACGGGTTACCTACCACGGCAAGGCAGTTCGAAATTACACGTAGTGAACAGAGCCCCACGGCTAGATTGTATTGCACAAGTCGAATCTCGGACATCACAAACAACGTACATTACTACGTAGTCAAGGTTCATAATGAAGTATTACAACATTGGTGGAATGACAACCAAAGCTAATTTGCATAGAAATAGATAACATTAAACCAGTTCTCATAACACAGACGTTTTGGCAAGGCGTCTTTATTTTAGAATTTGTTTCAACTATTCTTTCGTTTTCTTTCGAAACAATTAAAGTTTTCACTTCCAAAAGCACTGAAAATACTGTATGATTGTCAAATGTAATTTTTGATTGTGATGGAGGAAGGCTGTGCTCATGTGAAATATTGAAATGCGAGACCCGAGGTGAGACTAAACATGATTTTCTTATCCGGTACAATTCTACTTCTATCTGTGTTTAATAAGAACCCCGTCCGTCCATTGGCATAAACGTTATTTACAAGCTGCAATAACCACAGTTTTTAAAGCGGGGGAGTCGATACCTGCGCATGCGTCACATGACCATAGCGTGTCATTGTTTACAAACAAGCGTCAACCCATGAGCCTTTTCGTTTTTAGCGTGTGTTGTTATCGTCGCTTGGGACTCAATTCCCGCGCGTGCGCAGGTGACGACCCTCCCGCTTTAAGTATTTTGTGAAATAAATTATCTTTATAATAATTTACATATGATGCTAGTCCCTCACTCTTCATTGTAGAATGCAGTATACACATCACATGAATACATTATTTTAAACATTTATATATGCGTTCATTTCAGAGTCGTTGTTTATGCAGCCATGGCGTATCAATTATTGAAGCACACAACAGTGATAGGTAGTAGACGGTTAGCGTCCACTACTATCAGGCATGAGGTGGCCATTGCATCTAGGCACCACATTAACGTTACATCTAGGCATGGGGTGAACATTACGTCTGTGTATGGAAGAGCAAATGTCAGATGGTTTCGTGCTACAGCGTACGCAAGTGGTGAGTAATATACTTGTACTTGTGTAACATGCATTTTTTTAAAGTGATACTATAATCACATTACAACTTGCGCATGCGCGAATTTGTCTATCCTTGTTCTAATCTTTTCTGTGACTGTGCCGCGCCGTGTACATCACCAAATGAACACAAACCATATATGGCAATGATTTTATATAGATTTTAGTAGCTCTATAATAAAAGCATCACGCATTGACATTTTTCTGAGAGACGGATTGGGTGTCTGAACGTGTCTCTATGGTAACAATAACCTCCTGATAACAAAAATGTTTTTGGTGTTCGATTTCTTGCAGGTATACTTAAAAGTAAGCTTCCAGAACTTGCCATCCCTACTGATGTATCACTTGCAGAGTACGTCATGTCTGATTTTGATCACCATGGAGACAGTGTTGCTATGGTTAGTATGTTAAACATTGTGTGTGTCTAGGATCTTCTCAGTGCCAGACAATGCAAAGGGCACGCATATTGTCTGCCATTTTTTCTTATATCAGCATATCATTTTTATTTTGTACATAAAAACATGTTTCATATATTACAGGATTAAGATTTTTGATTGTCGTTTAAGGTCTGGAGTTACATTACCTTTGATGAATAGGCTAGCTCTGATTTGATAGCCATATATGTAAAAGGGTTATGTCAATTTTGATGAATGGGATGAGGGTTTGAGGTTTATTTTGAAGGATGAATCACATTGATCTATATAGTATCTTAGGCCAGACTTTTATTATCCCATGTTTCGCGAACCCGCCGAATGAACAGGAGCCGAAAATGAAATAAAAATAAAATTTTATTTCAGCGTATTTTCTTGCGCCCGCCGACTTGTAAGTGCAAAAAATTTGCTAAAAAAACTTGTTTTTATCTTCATTTTTTCCGCCCGCCGCATAACAAACCCAAGTTGCATTTTCGTGGGAGTATCATGATCAAAGTACCGAAGTCTGGCGCAGATGAGAAACAAGGTTATACATGGAATAAAAGTTTATTTCATTTCTTCTCTCCGATCAATGATCTTACTTACAATTCTTTGAGAATCCCACAAATCTAATGGAAAAAAGAATTAATTGTTTGTCCGCCCTCCTCAAAAAAATTGCCTTATAAAAACTCGAGAAACAAGGAATAAAAAAGTCTTGTCTTAACAAAGATATCCCATACCCCTCCAACCTATTATTTTGTATTCTGGCTATGTAAACAAACACCCCATCTCTTTTCAATCCACCAAAACATAACAATAGGTTATGACTGAATTTGTATTTTGATTTACGTTTCAGAAAAAAAAATACGTGTCCTGTCATTTCAACACCTTTTGAGAGATTCAAAGCTAAACCATACACTGACATTTATTTTGAAGTATTTTTTTTATTTTACAGATTAGACTTCAAATAATCCAAGCTAATTGCTAGATTTTCAAAAACTAAAAAAAAAATTGCCATTTGCCGTTATTAACAGTTAGTTTTACAATGTTGTTGGAATTTCAGTGTACTTTGATGAGAGTATGAAATGGCACAACATACAAAAATGTAATACTAGTATTAAGTAAACTGGTTGCTAATTGAGGTCATAAATTACACATATCATATCATCCCTGGCATTTCAGGTTGAGGGCGTATCTAACAAATCGTACACCTACAGACAGCTGAAAGATCTTGTGCATAGATGCGGTAGTGGACTGAGTAAAGCTGGATTCCAGCAAGGCGATGTGTGTGCTTTATTCAAACCCAATATGCCAGAGTACTTTATATCATTTTATTCAGTGGCTGCTATTGGTGGAACTATCACCACGGTAAATCCACTCTATTCCGCAGGTGAGGTTGTTAAAGTCACGGTGGCATTCAGCCTTCGTTATGTTGTTAGAACTCTCTATATAGAGTCTATTGAGATGTATTTGGGCTTGTGAAAATGCGCAATTAACGAGAAAACAGTCCGTAACCAGCGAAATCACCAGCGGTACACAACTAACCGACGCCTCCCGATCGTTACCGATTCAATCCGCGTGCTTCCGGTGCTTGTTGTGAGAGTCAGTTCCCATTAGCCTAGGGAGTTCACAATAGCAACTTAATTCATGTAGCTGACATATTTTTTTCTGACTAAATGTTTCCAATTTTTTTGTGTTGTATACTTTTTTCAATAATTTTGGACCAATTAGTCATAATTTTCTATTGGCTACAAGTTTCGATCAACATTTTGGAAAAATTATGAAAAAGGGAAGTTATTCGGTTTAAAAAATTGTGATAGTGGCAAAAGTGGGGTTTGGCGCTCAAAATAAACGTTTATACTTTGTCTGTTATTTTAGATAGTGAGGTACACGAGGATCTTTGTATGTCGATGTTGTTGTACATGTAATTGTACATAGTTGCTGTTGTCGTCAATAACTGTGTGCATATATATATATAATCAATAAGCTGAGTTCGATTTTGCTATATCTCACACGAAATATTGAGAAAATTGCGGTTCACTCTATTAGTTTTTATGACTGCATTGTGTATGCTTCACTGGCCATGAAATTGACAATTTTAAATGTTATACAGTAATCTTGTGTTTGCTGGCAAAAATCTCCAAAAGTTCCTCTGAATAATGTAAGATTATTTCCCTGACTGGAAAATGCGCTAAATTAAAACCCAGTGAATATGTAAAAATTAGCATAGAACACATTATCTAAGTGATAAAACCGTGAATTTAAAACCCACCGAATATGCCTGAAATGGTAAATTAACGAAATTTAAACCCAGTGAAAATTAGTCATTTTACAGTACTAGACTCTGCTCCAAAAACGGCAACGAGAGTGATGTGAAAATAGTACAATAAGCTAAGGAGTAATCTAAAATCGACACACATTGCAATGGTATTAAGTAAATAACTGTTAAAACGGATGTTGGATAATTGCAGATGAATTTATGCATCAGTTGAATGATTGTAAAGCGACCTGGATCGTGACGTCAACTGATAACAGTGATAAAGCCAAAGATGCTGCAAAGAAAACAACACATCCTGTCAAGGTTCGTATCATAGTACAGTCGGCTGCACTATCAGTGATCATTGCGACATCGTATCTGGTAGTACCCTGTAATAAACGTATTGTCTTTCTCGGGTCTGAGTATGGCGGAGATAAAGTTGTACTTGATCATTTCGTGTACAGCTATTTCATAATGTAATAGACCTATATAAGTGGTAGGCAGTGTGAATTATTTTTTAAATTATTTTTTTATCCAGGGTATATATGTGATAGGAGATGAATGTGTTGGAGGATGTATACCGTTTACTGACTTAATGAAAGACGATGGATCAGCTTTTCCAACCAATGTACAAATTAACCCAATGGAAGACGTTGTTGCCTTGCCGTATTCAAGTGGTACAACTGGTTTACCTAAAGGTGTTATGTTGACACATCACAACCTAATTGCTAATATTGAACAAATGAAGTAAGATGTGTTTTATTCGCTATTCTGCCAGGCAGTTGAGGGTAACTGGTGATTTGCAATGTGGTTTTGAATATCATGTAAACCAACAATGAAATTTATAATTGTATGTGTTGCAAGAGACCCACGTCAACTCAAAATCCAAAAGATGTATATTATCTTTGTCTCATGTAATAAGAATTTTCACACACAAAAAACAAGAGTTTACATGATTGCCAATCAAAAAGAGTTGGTAGAGGTGCATTCAAACATTAATTTGAAGTGATAAAGTAATAACCGGGGACTAACTATAAAGAGAGTGTATGAATGTCTGGCATCTAAATCTCCTGACAAATGTCACGTTCTTGCAAATGGTAGAAACAATACAGTAATTGTCATTGTTGGACACCCAGGTGAATCAATGCAAACGGCAAGTTGAATTTCACAAGTTGAAGCATCGATATTCCAACTGTATCACATAGTTGCTTTTCCAGTTAGACGTTAGACATTAATGCCAATTTCTAGCTCAGCTATGGTTACGTAGTGCGTGGATCCACCCACCAGATTTTGAAATCGCCCAATAATGGACACTTCCAACCAGATAAGGTCTGGCACAGAAACACGAGGAAATCTACGATCGAACCTTAAGAATCCCCAATGACGTCACACCGTTTATTGTGTCAATTGGTTTACACCTGTACATTCATCACCTGGATACTCGTCTAGTATGTCTCAGTGGCGACATGTCTATATTTGTTTACAAATCGTATCTCTCAGTATCTCTCAGCTATAAATTAATGTTATAATGTTATAATAAATAAATCTCTTATTTCCTGTAATGACACGTATTAACAACTCTGATATCTGAAACTAAAACATAATCATTGTACATTCTTTTAGATCTCCGGGACTGTTAGATTTCAAAGCCGGTGATACTCTAATTTCGGTTGTGCCATTTTTTCACATTTATGGCATGGCGGTTATCCTTTCAAATGGTCTTAAACTTGGCACTAAGCTAATCACATTGCCAAAGTTTGAGCCCGAACAATTCCTGCAAACTATTGAAACATACAAGGTAATTATGAGTTCAATTCACGTTCTTTCACACTGTTTAATTTGCCACTGTTTCGGTGTGTATAACTTATAACCAAAATCCATATTCATGTAGATTCGTATAAGGAAGTGTAACCTTCAATGTCATATATCAGTACCAGGATGTGTTACCTTTAAATCCTATTTGGTTTGAATTTCTTTTTGTGCTAGGTGAACCATGGAATGCTTGTGCCCCCACTAATGGTATTCCTGGCCAAACACCCTCTAGTTGACCAGTATGATTTGTCTAGTTTAGAATTTGTATTGTTTGGAGCTGCTCCTATTGGTGGTGATGTTATTAATGCAGTCAAGAAACGGCTGAAGAATGATACACTTTTTTTTAGGCAAGGTAATGTGTTACTGTGCATCTTTTTTTATTTTTTTTGTATGGAATTGGTGTTATAAATGAAGTACACTATATCGACAATTTTGACACAGGATTTTGCAGACATTTTTGCGTGATATATGTTTTATACCAATTGAGTTTGAATGGATGTTAATAGGTTAATTTTAGTGAAATTTAACGACATAGACTGTTATAGCCTTGTAGTAATACGACCTATGGATTAACAAAACTCAATCCCATATCCATCCTCACAATGTCTAGCCTATTAATATATATCAATACAGCTTATGGATTAACAGAAACCAGTCCCATAGCTACTATGTGTTCGGCCCACCACGACTTTCATATTGGATCTGTTGGCTTATTGGTAGCAAACTCGGACGCAAAGGTAATATTTCATAATCTTAAATTCCATAATTGTATGACCCCCACCAACATTGATACCATACAACTTACATATTTGTAAACTCCATTTTGTACTGCATCAAATAAAACATGTAGCACTTTTTAATGGTAATCCTTGATGTTGTGTAAAGTAGTGTTTAAAGCGGGAAGGTCGTCACCTGCGCACGCACGGGAATTGAGTCCCAAGCGACGAATAACAACACACGCTAAAAACGCAAAAGCTCATGGGTAGACGCGTGTTTGTAAACAATGGCACGCGATGGCCAACTGACGCGTGCGCAGGTGAGGACTCCCCCACTTTAATTGAAATAGTAATTAGTAATGTTTTCATTTCCAGGTCATTGACACCAAAACCGGAGAAACTCTTGGTGTTGGTGAAAATGGTGAGCTGTGTTTTCGTGGTCCACATGTGATGAAAGGCTATCTGAAAAATGAGAAGGCAACAAAAGCAACTCTCAAAGATGGATGGCTCCACTCAGGTGATTTAAATTAGCATAATTAATGTAATGGTTGAAGGATCAGCATCATTTTTTGTACTGGATGATGTAATAGAGAGTGGAGAGGATGCTTTAAAAAAAACTGAAACCCAAATCATTATTTTTGTGTGTTCTGATCAATGATAGACACGATGAATGTCGCACATGTTTTCATCTGTCTCCATGTAAATGTGGTAATTGGACCGAATATCAATATACATTGCCATTACTTTACGAGTTGAGCCTACAGTAATTCGACCTTGTTTCTTGTCACTCAAATTGCTGCTTAGATTTCTAATTCTATGACGCTAATGGATATTCATGCTATTATTATTATTATGGAATAAGTGTTGTGGAGAAAAGCATGAATCTATTATTGATTAAATAATACTTGCATACTCTGCCTTAGACAACCGACTGCATTTATAACTGTCAGTTGCCCCTGTCCTGCTGGTATTCACATGATCGTCTACTGAAATTGTACACATCACTTTACTGTCTTAACCTGCCATCGAATCAGCATTATATAAATAGTGGAGTGCTGTGGAGTCGGTTATTTCCATACTTACCTCGACCTGTTTGGAACCACTGCATCAATGTTTCACATTGCTTCAAACAATTTAAGAAAAAAAGATGGCAGGTACCCATTTCTACCAACACATGAGTCAGGATGGAATTGTTACACTCTCTGCACCTGAACGCCTTCATCAGTACTCCATCACACAGTCCAGTGAGCGAATGTTTGTAGTTGTGTGTGGGTCAGTAGAGGAGGGCTACTACAAACAAATTTTCTCCATCATTGGTATAGTGAGGATACAAATATAAGTCACCTGACAATGGTATGGAATCCAAAACAGGTGAACATAAATCTGGCATAGGTCACAGCTTTGAACGACAAGTGTGCAATTATCATGTAATGAGGTCTGCTCCTCTTTTCGGTGCATAATGCACCATACTGAAAGCACATGATCAGGTAACTTCAGACCAGTGATGAACTACACCTCTAAACCAGTCAGTGTGTTCAACCAAGTGATTTTCTAGTGGCGCTATTCCAATGCATCCAGACAGTCAGCCTCTACTAAGGTTTGTGGTTGGAGGGATTGTATACTTGTTCAAAGTTCTAGCCTTCGGCCCATGCTCAGAACCTGTTCAGTGCAGTGAATGTGCAACTTTGTACATCAAGAACTGACTCCACTA